AAGATATTTTGTTTTTTTTAAAATTTTTTCCCCCCCCCCCCCCACTTGTGGGGGGGGGTTGTGAAAAAAAAAAAAAAAAAAAAAAAAAACACACACACAGAGGGAGTAAACAGAGAGAGAAAAAAAGAGAAACCGTAGCACGCCAACAACTACACTTCAACTACAGTACTACACTATCAGACACACACGCGCACACACACAATCGAATGCACAAGGTCGGTGAAACAATTCACAGCTGGATGAAAAACAAAACAAAAACAAAGCAAGAAGAACTTTGAGATTCAGCTGAAAACCGATGAAAACAATCTAAAGAGGGAGAAGGAGGAGGGATGAGGTTTGGAAGTAAATCGAGCAGTAATACCAACAACACTACAACAGACCGTCTCACCATAATCACAGCATACAGGTTCCGGACAGAACTTTACATTCACTTACTTAAGAGCAGAAATGTTTGACATTGGGCTTTTTAATGACGCATCTCAGCTCTTCTCTTTTCCAGGTTGGAACGATGATAGATCACGAAACTAGTTTTACAGTTTTGAAAACGTTGTGGATTCTCTCTCTGTCTTATTATTTGTATTTGGAGAAATGTCTTGAGTCACTTAGAAGTTTTCCAAGGCCTTCAACAAGCTTCTGGCATAATTCTAGATGTCTGATCAGTGTTGGTATTGGCTTGTAAAGTTCCCACATTAAAGAATCACTCTCGTAGCTGCAGCAGAGTTGATATCAGGGCCTTCCCAGAAGCTTATTGTTAGTTTTATCACAACACTAAGAAGAATGCTAAGAGGAGTCAACGTGACATCCCTGACAGCTCCAAGGCAGCATCACGCTGAGGGTCTGCTTTGCTGCTTGTGCTGCTGGAGCATTTAACCAATACAGTGTGTAGTTTTGACCCTGTGTGGATTTAGACCCACGTTAAAAATACGTACTAAGCACCCAATTCTTGTTCTTAAAAACCATAGTTGTACAAAGTATCATCTCTCCAACCTGGAAGAAGAAAAGTTAAATGAAATCTACGCCCATAACTGCATGCAAACTTCTGAACAGAAATGCATGTAAAATCAAGTCGGAATGTCAAAGAAAAATAATATTAATAATAATAATAAAGCCAAGTTTAAATGAGTCTTTTTGCCTTTTTCACCTCCCTCAGAC